GTATCATTAAATCGTCCCAAGACTTTGGTAATGGGACAGTCTAGAAAAGTTTTAAATAAATAAATAGATAAACAGCTGATGCTACAATAGAGTTGGGAGTCGTTTTTGCTTGGTACCAGCAATGTGGGGAAATGTAGTCATGAAGCCCAAGTTAGGTAGCTGAAATCCTGGATTATCAGCATGGTTTTCTCTGAAATACCTGCTGAGCTGAGGAATTTCATTATGTGGAGAGGATAGTGATATGGAAAGGATGGGTGCAGAATGGTTTGCCCCTGCAGAGAAGTTTGGGACAGGCTGGACCTGGGATGAATAGGCTCCACCTGAACCAAAATGGGATTTGTCTTTTCGTACTAAACATAGAAAAAGCAGCAGAGCAGCTTTCAAACTAAGTCTTGGAGGAAAGCCAACAGAAGCTGGGAAACATCTGGTTTGGGTTAAAGCATCCTTAGGGGATGAAGATGAAAAATTCTGATGGCCCAAATGGAAAAATAGGACATGAGCACTGGGTGAAACATGATTGTCAAAGAGGCCTAGGGGCCAAATTAGAAGCTGCATATGTCAGAGAAGCACACCATGTTTCTGTGCAAATGCTAGAAATCTCCAAGCTAAAACAGGAGCAGGGGAAGGTCTGGTTTTAAAGGAAAGCCTAGACACAGAGGGCTTGATGGAAACTTGGTGGAATGCAGAGGTGATATGCAATGAGATATGGTCACCCCTGGATAGCAATTGTATAAGAAAGGCACGGAAGGGCAAACTGGGGGCGTGTTGCACCGTCTGTGCAAGAGAGCAGAGATTTCAGCAGCCTGGAACACCTAAAAGGTTTGGACTCTTCCCCAGAAGCACCATGGAAGGTGATACTGGACTCCCAGACTAATTAAGCTCTAGGAACATGTTACTGGTGCCCAGGCTAGAATGCTCAGGGGGATTTTAAGACAGTCATGCAACCAACCAGAGGGGAGGTGACCCCAGACTTAATCCTAATTGTTATCTCCAGGACCTAGCACATGATGTAAAGGCAATTGAACCAACTGGAATTAATGATAATAGTATCTGATTTAATATATATGTCAGTGCAAAGGTCTCATGAAGTTCAAGACAGTCACATTTGACTTCAAAAGAGGAAATGCCTCCAAAATGAGGGCGCTGGTAAAAAAAAGGAGCTAGAAGCAGAAGAGGGTTAAATTCATTCAAAAGGCCTGGGGGCTACTCAAGACCACAATAATAGAAACTTAATTGTTTACCATGGGTTAGGAAAAGTAGCAAGAAGTCTTGGAGGCCACCGAGCCTGGTTAACAAGCTCTGTCAAGGAAGTTGCTGGAGAAAAGAAGGTTTCCTTCAGAAAATAGAAGTCCTGCCCAAATGAGAAAAACAAAAAGGAACATGCGCGGGTACAAGGGAGATGCAAGTGGACAATATGAGAGGCTAAAGGGGATTTTTGGGAACATATAGCTAATAACAGCAAGGTCAGCAAAAAAATATACCAGAAGCTGAAGATCAGGTAGGGGAGAGAGTTCGACCCTGGACAGAGTTGAGAAAGTACAAAAGGGTAAGTCACTGCAGAGAAACTGAATAAATTCTTTTGATCTGTCATCGCTGCAGAAGATAGAGGGCAGATACTTGTGCTTGAAGGGGTATTTTCTGGAAAGAAACAGTGGTGGAAAAAAGAAGTTCTTACCAAAAAAAAAAAAAAAACAAAAAACGTTATGTCTAAGACCATCCTTCTATAGCAGAGGACTGAAGAATGGCCATTGTAACACCAATTTTTACAACAGGCCCCAGGAAATTACAAGGATCTGTTTTAAAAGCTTAATGCCTTTTCTGGACAAATTGGTTTAAAGTGTTCCTAGAGCACAGAATTATTAAGCATACAGAAGGGCAAGCCACAATGGGCCCCTGCAAAGTTAAGTCATGTCTTATTAACACATTAGAGTTCTTTGCCGGTTTCAATAAGCATGTAGACAAGGCAGATCTGGTAGAAATTGTTTACCTGGATTTCCAAAGGGCCTTTCAGAAAGGCCCTCACTAACTTAGCAGTCATGGAATAAGAAATATCCTCTCACGGATGAGTAACTGGCTAAAGAACAGGAAGCAGAGGTTCTCCTAACAGAGGGGTGTAAATGGTGTGCTTCCACATGGATCTGCATTAGGACCAGAGCTATATATTTATTTAAAATATTTATATGCCATCCTATTCGCAAAAAAGCCTCAGGACAGCTAACAATGTAAAATATAACATAAATAACATAAATAAAATTCCCAACCCAGTTTTTCAACCTGTTCATAAATTATCCAGAATTAGGCATGAGAAATGCAGTGGCCAAGGTTGCACAGGAAAGCAAGCTATTTAGGGTGGTTAAAAAAGCGATTTCAAGGAAATCCAGCAGCATCTCTCCAGCTGGGAGAGCATGCATCAAAATGGCAAAAAGTGTCAGGTAAAGCCCATTGAGTCAAACCCCCTCAAAAAAAAATGGGGGGGACTTCAAGGTTAGAGTTATAAGATTGGAGCTAGCTCTGAGTGATCGAGGAAGCAGAATTGTGCCAGGCACCTGAATGAAAGTGTTGACACAGTGCTTGGCTGCTTGGAAAACGACAATTCCACGGCTGTCATGGTCAGCAAAGAACATAAAGTCAACACTGCCAGGAGGATATTTCAATTGTACACATCTTTGGTGTGCTCACACTTAGAATGCTGTGGACAGTTCTTTGCACTGGAAAAGGATGTTGTAGCACTGGGCAAGTATAGGAAAGGGCAGTGGATCGGGGCTGCAGCAGTTCTCTCCTATGAAGGCCGCCTACAACAGTAGGGCTGCTTGGCCTAGAAAAAGGGCAAGGAAGGGGGGACATGGCAGAGGACTTCAAAATTATGCACGGTGTGAAGAAAACACAAGGAAGGCTTCTTTCTGCCATAACACTCGAACCCAAACCTGTAAAGCTGATTGGTGGGAGATTCAGGAGGGATGAAAGAAAGAGTGCAAGCTTAAACTATGGAATTGACTTCCATCCTTTGGAGGACTTTAAACGGCAATTGGACAAGTTCAAGACGCAGGTGGACATCCATGGCTGCTAGTTCAGAGAGCTCTGTACTACCTTTGCACCAGAGGGAGGGTGTCTGTGTTGGGGAACCTGGGCAGGAAGGTGTTGTTGCTCTCCTGGCCTAGCTGGGGGTTTCCTTAGGGCAGCTGGCCGGGCGCTGCGTGAAGAGAGTGCTAGATCAGACAGACACTGAGCCTGATCCGGCAGGGCTCCTCCCGTGCCAAAGAAACGGAGGCAGCTGCCTTCAAGCAGCAGGTCTCCCTGGCCCCAGCGCTGTTCCACCACACCAACACACACAAGGCTTGGCTTTAACACACACGGCTTTTTCCAGCTTCCTCCAAATACTAAGATCATTTGCTGAAAGTTTCTGTGCATGCGCCTGGCATGAGAAAGGGAAAAGAAGCTGTCATTCAAAAATGTAAGCCCGAAGGGTCCAGAGGAGGGCAACAAAAATGATCCAGGGTTTGGAAACACTGCCCTGTGAGGAGAGACTGGGAGAAGTGGGCATGTTCAGCCTTGAGAAGAGCAGACTGAGGGGGGACATGAGATCCCTCTAGAAATACTTCAAAGGCTGTCACAAAGAGGAAGGTCAAGATCTGTCTTTGCTGATCCCAGAGTGTAGGACATGGAATAATCAGTTCAAGTTGCAACAGCCCAGATTCAGGCTGGACATCAGGAAGAGCTTCCTCACTGTCAGAGCAATACGACAGTGGAACCAGCTGCCCGAAGAGGCGGAGGGCTCTCCCACACTGGAGACATTCAAGTGAAACTGGACAGCCCTCTGAGTGGAATGGTGTAATGTGGTGTCCTGCAACAGCAGGGGGTTGGACCCGATGGCCTTCATGGCCCCTTCCAACTCTACTGTTCTATGAAAACATCCCTGGAAACAAGGAATTAGCAAAGCAATTCTTCGGATCCTGGCCGCAGGGCATTACATAAATTTGATCCAGCCCATAAGCACCCTCCCAAAATAGAAGCTGATTTAACTCGAAGATTATTTATTCAGAAATGCATGCCACCCCACTCATTCACAGGATTTGTTGCTGTGAGTAAGCAGCATGAGAAGCACTGCCAGTCCAGCCACTTCTCCTGGATGCAGGTCGACTCTGAGTAAACATGCCGAATCTGCCCACAAATAAAATGCATCTGTTCCAATGGCTACTTGACACAGCTCGGACGCCGTTCCATTCCGAAAGCACGTATACCTGCCTACTGGAAACGGGTTTCGTCCAAGGGGAAACGAACATTTCAACACACTTAAAAATAGCAGGGTGGTGGTTTAAAAATGGAGAAAATCTTTGGGCACTTTCAAGACAGAGTCGCTGTTGGGGTTTTTCGCACCGCGCAAGTTTTGGAGACTGGAGTCCAGTCCATCGACGCCTTCTCGGTTTGAATAAATAAGCACCCGCAGAGAGAGAAACACCGAGAGACTCCAAACAGTGCGATGGAGAACCTTCGTGGAATTTCTTTTGTAAGTGCCAGACCGGCTTTACAGCACGCTCCGCAGCCCTGCCTCCCCACCCCGGCAGTCCCCAAGCCTCTTCAGCCGGCTGCCGACCCGCTTCGACCAGCCTTCCCCGAGCTGCCGTCTTCCAGATGCCGGCAACCCCTGACCACTGGCCGGGAGCTGCAGGTCCCAGACGTCCGGGAGCCCCCAGGGAAAGGCGCCTCCCGCCCGTTAGACCCCAGCAGGCAGGGCGGCGAAGGCGCAAGCGCCCCCGAGCGCGAGCGACGGCTCCGCCGACCGGACCCCGCGCGCGGCGGCCGAGGCGCGGCGACAGCGATCGCTCGCCAGCAGGCAGCGGGCTGAGCGCGCCTGTCCGCGGGGCAAGCGCTTGTCCGCCTCGCCTCCTCGCCTCGCCTCTCCCGCGCCCGAAGCGCCCAGCGCGCGCGCGCGCGCGCCCAGCCCCGCGGCCACGCACGCACCGGACCCCAAGGGCGCGATCCCCGCGGGAAGCCCGACTTGCCTCGGCGGGGCGGCTGACTCGCGAGGAACCGCAGGCTCCAACTTCGGGAACTTCGGCGCAGCGGCGGCCGCCAGCCAGCGAGCGATCCGGGGCGCGCCCGCCTGGGCGCACGCTGGCAGGGCAAGGTGGCGGCGCGAGGGCGGAGACAGGTGCGCGGGCGAGGCGAGGCGAGAATGCTCCGCGGCCGCCCTGCGGGTGACTCACGCCGGAGCCGGCCCAGCCCGGCCCGCCCCTCGGCCTGACATCACGCCGGGCGCGGCCCGCCCTCTCCGGCGAGCGCTTAAAGGCGCAGGCGGCGGGGCGCCGGGCGCGCGTTGTGGGTCCCCGGCTTTCCTCCCGTCGTGCTTTTGTGCCTTCTCCCCCTTATATCTTCACAACAGCCCTGTGAGGTAGGTGCGGCAGTGACTAGTCGTGCAGGGTGAGTCGCAAGGCCGCGTGAGGATGAGAACGCGCGGGTCCCCAGTCCGTCCGGCACTCTAAGCACTAGGCCGCACTCGCTCGTGGAATTCATGGCGTTGTAATTCTTGCAACCCGCGGCAGCCAGCATGACCCTCCTCCTCCTCCACATTTTTATCTTCACAACAGCCCTGTGAGGTGGCATAGTTCTAAGTTTCCTGAGCTCAAGTTTCATGGCTGAGTGGGGATTTGAACCGGGATCACCAGGTCTTGGCCCAGGACTGCAACCCAAGCACCACATCAGGCCTTGCAATTCGCGACCTGTTATGATCAGGTTGTGCATCACGTGATTATAACCTATGTTGCTGGCATAATGTTCCTGCCCCTGGCTGTTTTATTCCCACAACAGTCCTGTGAGGTAGGCTAGGCTGAGAGTCAGTGACTGGCCCCAAATGTCCCAGCATGCTCCATGGCCGAGTGAGGATTTGAACCAGACTCTCCCAAGTCCCGCTACACCACACTGTTCCTTATCTGACTCACACTTCCCCCAACTTGCTCAGGGGCGGTACAAAGGGCTGATTGTTGTTGTTAGAATAATTATTTCTCATATATCTATATTGCCTAGCATTATGACATCTCAAAGCACCTCCCACAGAAATACTTTGATACTGTAATATAAAGACAATAGAATGTTATCCGTCATTTAAAACATAGCAAAGATGGCAATAAAACCGGGCAAGCATCGCCCCTTCACCCTCAGCACACACTTCCCCCAAACCTCCTGTCCCTCATCTGCTTTTCCCTGGTGTGAAAGTTTGGAATTCCTCTCTCAAGGCTGGGCTAGGAGCAGCAAGAGCTGTGATGGAAATATGCTGGCATTCTCCCCCCACCCGTCTCGCCTTTCCCTTGCTCCTGCATGCCAGTGAGAAAGGAGCAGGAGCAAGGGCCACTTAAAAAGAACTTGGCAGACAGCGATGATCCAAAGCCATAAATGAACAGCTGAATTCATCCCCGTTTGGAACCATCCCCATTGATTTCAATGGGATTGAGATGCAAACTTGTTAAAGCTTGCAGCCTGTCTCTCCCACAACAGGTAGTTCAATAAAACAGATGTGGAAATTGAGGGACCCCTTTAATTAAACTTTGGTTTAGACTCTGTGCATTTGTAGCCACACAAGTCCTTTTGGGTTTAGGTTTCTGGTATACATGCATGCATAAATACATGTTTAGCGCAAATTAAATCGGGGTGATGGTGATGAGTGTTTCATTCATCTCGCCTTCCATTACTGTTTCCATGTGCCATAGATCAGATACTTGCAAAAGACCACACGCATTTGTGGTGTAATACCAACACTAACAAATGGTCGTGACAAGAGCGGTGTGTGATGCTGGATGACAAAAGCTTCATGCTCTCAGCAAGGCGTAGCTGAGGAATTTCTGATGTATCATGTGCCCAGGCATGTGCATGTATGCATGAGCACTGATTACATATGTGTCGGGATATTCAGCAAGGGCAATGGATTTAAGCCACTCATCAGCAGAGAACATGCAGGGCAGAACTTCGCCTCTCTATTCAAATCTTGCTTCCGCTGCATAACTCACCAGGATGCCATTGTTGGCAGGTGTCATTATCACATGCAGCTTATTAAGTGCCAGGAGGGCTTTGCTGAGTCACCTCTCGTGGGAAGGTATGATGGTGCACCTACCTTGCAGGAGATAACGTGCCAGGTAAATGCAAACGCTTGATGGACGCTGCGACCTGTTCCTGTGCAGGTGTTCGTTGCTCAGTGTGTGAAGGTAATAGTAATACTCTCTTGCCTTCTCTGCCAGCTGGGTTCAGACTGTGTGCTAATCCACATTCAAGGTTGGGAATGGGTTGAGGGTTGGAATTGAACCATGGGCTGGTGTTGAAATATGGGTTCATGCATTGTGTGAACCCAGCTGTGATAAGAAGCCATGGTTTGCTAGTTACAAAGAAGGGATGAAAGGGACCCATGGTTTGTTGCTGGGTTGTGACCAGTGGGTCGTTCAGCACGGTTTGTTGCCTTAGCTGGGTTTTGACAACTCGTTAATCTGAGTGGCAACCCACAGTTCAGCAGCAACATACACTCAGCTCATACGCAACCCTTGCAAGACCGAACACAGTCTTGGGTGTCTCCACCATGGTAGGAATAACCTTTGAGCAAACATACTTAGAACAGGGCTGCTGGCAAGGATGCCAGCTGGACTTGGTCCGGTGTCTAACAGCAACCTGATCTGCTGAAATGAGTCAAGGCACAAAGTAGGGATCTTGGGATCAAGAGTTGACAGTGCAGAAAGCGGCAGAGGTAAGGGCGAGGGGGCTAAAATAGGAAACATTCATCATCCAGAAATAATAGCCAAAAAGAAAAGGCCTAGCTGTGCTGAGTGCAAATGTTTGCACTTCAGAATGGAAAAACAGCCTTGCTGGACCAAATTACTCGCCCATCTAATCTTAGTGCATGTCACAGTGCCCTACTGGAATACCCACGGAAGCAGGAAACGGGGACCACAGCTTTTCCCTGCTGTGACTCTCCAGCAACTAGTACTTCAGAGATACATGGACAGCTGGTGCATCGCAGCTCTCAGGGGATCGCCTGAAGGTGTACCATACTGAGTCTAAGCAAGTTTGGGTCTGGTTCAGTGCTTGGAGGGGAGACCACCAGGACCCACTTTAAATTCCACGAGAGAAAAATGGTGGGATATAAAAACAATAAACAAACAAACAAACTGGTGTGCATGATGAGCCTGGATGGCTACCCACCCTCCCTACACTTGCCAGTCGCACGAGGGCTGGGTTTACATCACTGTCCTCTCTGGCACAGCTTGTGTGTAGAGAAGCCACGGGCAAGACAAGTGGCATACAAATGTTTTAAATAAATGAATAAGATCGGCAGTCCCCAGACCGCACCACCGAGCTGAGTCCAAAAAGACAGAGGAAACTGGGAAACCCGAAGAAGGTGGCAGACAACGTTGTTGCTTCTGCTGCTCATCCAGTCCTGGGGTTCGACTCTGAGAGCCCTGCTTCCACGACATCACAGCACACACTTTTGGACACCTCTCTCACATCCCCTGTGGCCTTTCCATAGCGGCCAGCATTCTTTTCCCAAGGTACTTCAGCATGTTCACAAGTAGGACTTGAAGGAGTTGGCTGTCTCCCTTGGCTTTTCCTCAGCACCTGGGAGTTCAAGGTGGACTGCCTTGGCACATGGAGGTTCTTTCCCACCTCCATCATATACATCCACTAAGAGCTATTGATTGGAAGATGCACTCCAATCCCTTTTTAAAATTCGGCAGTTATAGGGACAGAGGAGGCTGCCTTACACCAAGTCAGTTCCTTGATCCATCTAGTCCAGTTCCTACTCCAGTATTCCCAACACAGACTGGCAGCAGATGCTTTCCAGGGATTCAGGCAGGGTTCAGTCCTGGCCCTCCCTGGGACCTTCTGCCTGTAATGCTTGTGGTCCACCATTGACCTCTGGTCCCCCGGACTTCGCATTGCACAAAGAAATTCTCTTTTGGTATCAGCCTTGGATGTGGCCATATATTCCTGTGCATGGGTCTGAATCTTTTGGGCATATTTGCAAAGCAAATATTCTCACCAGGCAATTAAGAAGCAACAAGGAGACTGGTATTGATTAGACCTACTTCCCTATCAGCTTTGCTGGCCGATGGCCCAGTGTTTTGACAGAGGGAGGAAAAGGTTGCCTCCCTCTGTCGACCGAGTTTTACAAAACTCCGTTGTGCATGAGCAAATTGCACATGAACAGAGCAGAAACAGCTCAGAAGCAAAGCTTGCTCACTGTTGCTGCAATGGGTGCACTTCTGTGTCAGAAAAGCTGCACTGAATACATTTTTGCTGGCGGGGGGAGAGCTCAGCTCCTCATAATCACACGCCAAAGCCCATAATGAGTGGTTAAGTAAGAAGCAGCCAGTGTCCCATGGCTCTTAGCAATCTGCAGGACAGGAAAGAGATGCATTCTTTGCATGCCTCTACAAACCAGCCCAACCAGTTGTTTTGAGGGCCGGGCAAGGAATTTTGTGTGTGTGTCTCTGGAGGGGGGCGGACAAGCACAGAGGCAACCTGTCTGGGAGCCGCACAGTTTTGATTTCGGCACTGAACAGGCACTTGGCTTGGTTTCCTCAAGCATCACCCCTCCCCTCTGGAAACAGTCCGTGTGAGAACCAAGAGAGGTCTAAGAAAGGAAGGGGAGAATGAAGCAGCAAATTAGATGGCGTTTCCTCACATCTTTTGCATTATGCCTTGGGCTTGGAGGGAAAAAGATAGGAATCATAAAATAGAGGAGCTGGACGGGCAATGAAGGCCATCAGGTCCAACCTCCTGCTGTTGCAGGACACCAAGTTACACCATCCCACTCAGGAGAGTGAAGCGAAAGTGAATTAAGACCCTTCCATTTCTGTGCACCAAGTTCGTAATGCTGTCATCCTCTTCTGGACTCCTGAACTCACTGAGCTTCACTCTTTATGCACCCAACACAGCGCCATCCACACACAGAAATGGGCTATCAACTCTTTCTGACGTGTATGTTTTTATTATTTTACTTAACCTGCTTCTGTACAGCTTGAACACACAAGCTTTATGAGCAGTTTACACACAGTGGCACGTCCACTGTAGTATACAAGCCAATGTAAAAACAGCATAAACCAATAAATACCTC